TAAAGTAGGTTGATAACCTACTGCTGAAGGCATCCTACCTAATAAAGCAGAAACTTCTGATCCAGCCTGTACAAATCTGAAAATATTATCAATAAATAAAAGTACGTCTTGTTTATTCACATCTTTGACGATATATATATATATATATATATATATATATATATATAGGGGCGAATCATTTAGCCACAAGGAAGGTACACACAGACAGCCTCATGCTAACTTGGCGATATGCAAATAATTTTGCTGAGTTACCGCAAATGGACAAATTTATCACAGGACATGATCCAAAATATAATATAATTGAGTCACAAAGTTCACAAAGACTAAACTGAATAAAAGTTGAATAAAGTTTAAATAAACTGAAAATGAACCGGCAAAGTGAGAGACTGAAAACCAAAGCAATACAACTTTGTTTTGTTATGATGAAAGCTGCTGGACTACCAACCGCCCTAGCCCAGGTGGTTGCTACACCGATGAGCTGTTAAACCGTAGACCCACGTTTGAATCCCCAGTTGCAATCAGATGAACAGCATTTACAGGAGTTGGACTACTACGTTGACGCACATGCCCAACAAAACACACGGGGAGCGAATCCAGCCAAGTCAATGACATGCAAAACCAAAACAAAATGAAAGAAACACAAAGCACTGACGCCGCCGTCACCGTGGGAGGTTACCGAACTACTAACCATCGATTGGGCAGGTGAACAGCGCAGAAGCACATCCGGAGATGCCGCCCACCATAAGGCTCTCACATGTCGTCAATCTGCGTCCACCACGCCTTCTTTCCAGGAGATCTTTCAGGTTTTCAAAGACAGTCCACTGTGGTACACGGAAAGCAACACAATTTTCATATCTAAGTGTAAGTAATGATAGTATAACTGTATAATAGCAATGGGCCTAGCTCAGTTGGTACAGACATCAGCTGTTGAAATACAGACAGACCTGGACTCGAATCCTGATGCTGAATTACCTGGAGACGGTCAGCAAAATGATGATTTCTTAGGGGGGGAAAAAGGAAAAATAAAACAGTAAAAAATGAAAATTTGAGTAATAATACTGTGACAAAAGGGGAGAAAAGGGAGAAGGAAGAAAGAGAAGGGAAAGGGAAAGAAAAGAAGGGAAGGGAAGGAGATGGCCAAAAAAAGGAAGAAAGAAGAAGTACGAGAAGAGGGGAGGGGGGGGGGAGGAGGAAGAAAACAAAGGAGAAAGAGGAATAATCATTCAAGCATATTGAGATGGATTGGTGCATTAGAGAGGGAGGGGGGAGGTTAAAGCAGTGAGATGGGGGGTTTCTAAGGACCTCCCACAAAGACTGCACAAACTGGTTGTCGCTTTGCGCGTTTTGTAGAAACCCTTTTCCAAGGAGATCCGAGATCTGAAATACACACCTGCTGCTGCACGATTATGTATTTCCAATTATTCGGTTTTGACTGG